GAGACTAGACTTCAATAATGCATTCCATTTGGGACTATACCTTGAGACCAGCTGGAGCCTAGAACTGACATGGAATGCAGCAGTCATTTTATTAAGAGGGCTAGTATTTCAAGAGCACAAACACCAGGGCTCCATAAGCTTTGCTGGACGGTTATAAGCTCCCTGGTGGGATTCAAGCTGTTCGTCTTGACGTTTAGGGTATGTCTACACAGACCATGGAAGTGAGCCTCCCACCCTGCGTGGACACTCAGGCCAGTGGGGCTCACATTAGTGCTCTAAAAACAGCTCTATAGACAGTACTTAAGGTGCAGCTTGGGACTACACTTGAAGTCCTAAATGGTTTGGGATCTTCCTCTTAAAAGACTTGTCTCACTCCTCTGATGATACTGTCACAGTTGCAGTCAGCAAAAGTGCTGGAGCTCCACTGATGTAATGTAGAGGGAGGTGGTGGTAGTGTTCTACATGGGGGTCCTTTCACTCTGCAGTTCGGTTGGCCAGAATTATTAACCATCTGAGTGTGCTTCAGGGCCCATTGGAGGTGGACATTTGTTGAAGACTTTAAAAAGGGAGTACAGTCTATCAGTTAACTTTGAAAATGTCCACCTTCTAACAAACCCAATCCTCCTTACTTTGTCTAATCCCTTCAGCCAGGCTTAATTCTTGACTAATTTTCTGTCCTACTCCCCTGTAAGATATGACTGGCTCTAAATTTTTTATGTCTATGGGAGACTGAACTACATTAGCCTCTCCTATAGAGATGCAGGCTCTCCAGCTCCAAGTAGTTTAGCAAACTTCAGTTCCCAGAATTCACTTTATTACCCCTCTCCCCAAGTAAAGGCCCTGGGAGGAGAATGGAAAGAGAACTAAATTGATCTAAGACATGGACTATTAAAAGCTATGTTTCAGAGAATATGCTGTATTGCTTGTTTCCCTATATAGTGTCTTTTTTTCTTTTCTTTTAATTGTAGGTTCGATTTGCTGCTTTGCTTACTTTGGTGGAACTTGCAGGGAAACTAAAGGAGAACTACATGGTGCTGTTGCCAGAATCCATCCCTTTCTTAGCTGAGTTAATGGAAGGTAATGTCCTACAATGCTTCAGTTGATAACCAGGATGTCTGGGTTGTCCATTTTTGAAATACTAATCTAATACAAAACAATCTTAGACAGTGATCCATCACTGACAAATCCTAAAAATCCACTGTCCTGAGTGTTAGTCACTTTTTTTTAAGAATAAAGCTATTACATAACTGAAATTAAAAGTAAACAAGCAGATGCATTGTTTAGGAGCCATAGACTAACTGATGGGAATTCACCTCTGTGCACCACTTAAGTCCCAAACAATCCAACTGTGGCACTGCTTTTAGGACAGGTTTTTATGATGTTACATTTACTGCACTCTTATGAGTGGAAAAACAACTTTATTTCAAAAATATTTTTATTGCATTACCTTTTCAGCTGCAGTAATGCTCAAATAATAAGTGCTTCCCAAACATCCTGTTCAAAGGAGCATACAGTGTGAAAAGACACACTCATGAAAGGAGGTGTGGGGAGATCTTACAACATAAGAAAAGTGGTGAGGGTGGAGATAGGCATATAGGGTAGTTACATCTTTGTTAATGTTTGCTTTTTAGATGAATGTGAAGAAGTAGAACACCAGTGCCAGAAGACGATTCAGCAACTGGAAGTTATTTTAGGAGAACCACTCCACAGCTACTTCTAAGAAGCCCCATTATCTCTTCCTTGTAAAGTCTAAATCATGAAATGTGAATGTCTATCTCACATAAGAGCTCATAATATTGTCATAAAGTTACTATGTCACTCTAATTAAGAGTGACTACTATTTTTTGTAGTAGAATGTTAAGATCTTGCCTATACACTGTTCAGGATCATGACAATTTCCACAGCTATTAATAAATTGAAAATATTACAAGATGGCTTTTTGACTTCTGTATACCATGAATTGTAGAAACAGTTCTATGAATTAAGGTCAGGAAGGACAATGGGGGATGAATTTTCATAAACTAAAATGTGCTGCAAGATTGTAGAAGGGGCAGACTTATTTTTTGTTCTGAACGTAGTTTTTATCCTGTTAAGTTTGCTGCAGCTTTTTAGTCATTCACGGTGACAGTACGCATTTTCTAGTAGCAGAGTCCCTGACTACAGAAGCTACAGTTTTGTGAGATGTTTTCTTCACAGTAGTTTAAAATCACTCATTTATGCTCTGTGGGATTTGAGTCTCAATTATACCAGCCTATAACTTCAAACAGTAGTTATTAATAGCTCCAGAAAACACTAATTTTGCTTTAAAAAGTGATTACTATAATCACCATTATGCCATAAGTCTGATACATCACAGGGATGTGCACATGTTACTAGTTATGTGAATTTATTAGGTTCTTACAACTGTGTACCCCTGTGAGAAAATCAGGCATTCCATCTACATGTGCTAGTTTAACTACCTTGGTTTCAAAATCTTCCATGAAGGATGAAGGGGCAGATATTACCTGTTCTGTTGCTGTCTGTTCTTTTTAACTGTGGAAGAAAATAAGTGAAGAAGCCAGCAATACTCATTTAAGGCTGTTGACCGTACTTGAGATGGATGACTATACAAGATTCCAACTTTAAAGGAGTTTAGAAATTAAGAACTTTGTTCCCAGTGCAGGATTTACACTACAGAGTGGAAGTCAAACTTACACAGGGACTTCAGGAGAAAAGTGAAGTTAACTGAAAATAATCTTTACATAGTGCTCTTTAGATAGCCAGGCAATGCCAGTGCTGTAAAAAACAACTTTTCTTAGGCGGCTGTTTACAGAAGTACATTTTAGCTAGAATGTACTTTTCATTTAAGACTAACAGTGAAAAGTAAATCTAAATTACATACCAGTGTAACACTGTCTAGTATGGGCACTTTTAAATGGGCCTGGTTGTAGCAGTGATCATAGTTAAAGTACACTAAGCAGCAGAAAACAAAGGGTAAGTTATCTATTCTTAGATCATTCCCTTTAGTACTTAGAAACCACTCCAGTAATACAATCTGAAATATCTCATTCCTCTCCCCTTCAGTGTATTTCATAAAATTACCTGGAATTTTGGCTGTTGTGATTGATAATTTCTTAGTAAGGTACTATTACTAAAAGCTAACTTTACTACTTCCTGATGCTTCTAACCCTAAGCCTGTAGAAAAACTTAATCACAAAATATTAGCCCACACCTTTTAAATAACAGAACCGTTTTTGCACACCTTTTCTTCCTCATCATCCCCACTTCCAAATGACATACTGGGACAGTAAATAGATAAATTAATAATGGTCTATAAGCATAGTCAAAGACATACCCTAAATTAATACATTTAACTTGAGTTTCATATGCTGCTTGAAGAATATGCATAATATGGCAAGTGATTAGGTTAGTTATCAAAAGATAACCTAGAACTCATATACACTTTAAAGATAAACATTAAATACTTAGTCATAGCTCACAGAAATTGAGATTTAATTTTTGGAAAGTCATCTTTGCTTTATACAATTTCACAGCAGTCAACTCATTAATTCCTAAGGCATCTATCATACATTTGAACTGCAATAACTGACTTTCTTTAAGACTTGTATTTCACATTTTATTCCCCACACCAAGTTGCCCCGTCTGAAAACCATTAGCAAATAACTAGATAGGACATGAAGTTATAGAAATACTGGATCGAACACTTCTTTTTAACCTCATGGCCTACATATAGTCTAGGGAAATGGTATCACAGACAATACTGACTTTTCCTTGTAAACTGTTATAAATGCATCATATAAAGCAGGGGTTGGCAACGTTTGGCACGCAGCTCGCCAGGGTAAGCACCCTAGCGGGCCAGGCCAGTTTATTTACCTGCTGATGCGGCAGGTTCGGCCGATCGCGGCCCCCACTGGCCCCGGTTTGCCGTCCTGGGCCAATGGGGGCAGCGGGAAGCCGCGGCCAGCACATCCCTCGCCCACACCACTTCCCGCTGCCCACATTGGCCCAGGACGGCAAACCGCGGTGAGTGGGGGCCGTGATCGGCCGAACCTGCCGCGTCAGCAGGTAAATAAACTGGCCTGGCCCACTAGGGTGCTTACCCTGGCGAGCCACGTGCCAAACGTTGCCGACCCCTAATATAAAGACTTCCTCAGGGACATGTTAATGATGTTGGCATCAGGGGGTCCATGTATATGCTAATCAGTATTTTTTACAAAATGTTTGTTTCAGATAGCATATTATAGTGCAACTTAGTCAATAGGGTAGTAGGTGAACACTCTTGACTATCAACATGTTGAATATGTTCTCTGAGCTCAGATTTAATGCATAGCATCCATGGGTCCACACCCTTTAAATAACACAGAATAACTACTTCTATTCCTGAGCAACCTGAATCAAAAAGGAAGATAAGAGCTCTTTTTTAGAATCTCTTCTATAATACTGCAGCTCCAAAAATTGACAGGATAGGAGATAGCAAAATCAACCAAACAGAGGACAGCGTTATTTCACTTTGATCTCAGCTAAAATTAGAATTGTAATTACAGAATAATGGCCAGGGGTTTTTCTATGGGCTTGATTTATGCCACTTAGGAGCAGGAGCTGATGTGACTATGAAAGTCAAGGAAGTGGCTTATAGCATCTGTGCTGCAGTGCAATAGATAAAAAAATAAAATCACTAGGCCCCCAGGGAGGGTGTTTTGGTTTTAGTTTTGTTTTCAAAAAATTACAGCTGACATGCTGAGAGGTAACTTCAGTTGGATGTTTTAGGTTTGGGGCTGAAATACCTTTTCAAGATATAGAGCTAACACTAACATTCACTAATTTAATATAGCAGGGTTCTGATTCCTCATAGCATTATTCCAGGTTTACCCTGGTTAATATAACTAATTTCAAGTTATATTAACATAAAAACCAGAGTAAAGCAATGAAACTGCAGATGTGCTCTCCCTAAAATTAGAGTACATTCTTTCCTTATGTAATTCCCATTTAACTTTGCTTATAAACAATAAGGGTTAAAATATACTTAGAACTTGCTATTAGATCCCTTAAGAGGTTGACAGTCCATTTTCAGATACACAGGTCATATTTCAGTCCCGCTCTTAACAGACAATATTGAATTTATAGTTATTAGCATTCCATAGTACAGCATTCTGTGTTCTAATTTACAAAATATTTTGCAGTTATTCTAATACTATAAAGCAAATATTTATATTGCTAGGTACAGTAATTTAATTCTTCATATAACAGGAGATCTATGCCTACTGAAGCAGATAATGTGACTTTAGTTTGCCAAGATACTGAAAACTGGGGAAGATCTAATCTAATAGGATTTTGACAGCTGGGGCTCAACTTTGTGATAAGCACCAATACAGAAACTTGGATAAATGGGACAAGGACCTGGGTTATTCAATACCAGTTTGTACTTGAGTAGAAGGCAACAGAGAGTGGAAGAATATGATGCTACGAGCTCCTCACATCCAGTAACTGAATGTCTCCAGTAACCTCCAATATGTTGATCTTTTCAAGCTGTTTAAATCGATGCTTGTACTCCACGATGTGCACACCATTTACAGCAACCTTGTACTGATGAACATCACAGAAAATTAACAACTGAAAGCAAAAACAGGAACACAACAGGTTTTCAGTTTGTTTTAATTTGATTAACATGAAGACTCTGGTGGTCTAATTCAGAATCAGACAAACCTAGCTTCTGCTTTTAAGTGTAGGATCTTAACTAAAAAAAATTTTTTTTTTTTTAACTTTATTAACACTGCAAGGGAAAGAACCCAGCTTGGACATAGAGTTTACTGAAAATATCACTTGCAACAGTTAAAGGCTAATTCAGGCACTTTCACTTGTTCAAAGTAGAAAAGAGAAGGGGATTGAATAGAAGTAGTTTTTTTCACAGCAATAACATACTTTGAATCAAGTTTAACTTTAATAGCTGCTTTTTTAGATTCAGTCCCAAACAGCTACTTTCACATTTAAGAAAGTTATTGTCCCTGACTCTAACTCACGCTAACTACATGAGATAAAAAGGCTATCATTTAACTATTTCCATTCATTAATACACAGGCATTGTTTGGTTTTTTTATCCTAATTCATGCAACCTTACCTCAAAGTACATTCCTGGGCTGAAAGGGAAATTAGTGACATCTTTTTCTTCTTCTCCCCAGCTATCAGAAAGATAGGAATTTCTCACGAAAACTTTCGTTTTCATTCGGGGATTCAGATGCAGTGCAATATCCTTTGAGTCACTTGATTTTAGATTAACAGCAAAGCTGAAAAACATTTTAAGATTACCCATAGCAAGAGACAGCACATACATCCCAGACAGAGTGCAGACTTGGAAACCCCCTGTGCCATTTTACCATTATCTATATATCTAGGTGAAAGGTCCCAGACATGTGCGCATGTGTGTTGACTTTGCTATCTGGATGAAAGGTCCCAGGTGTGTGTGTACTTTGCTATCTAGGTGAAAGGTCCCAGACATAGATATGCCAACTTTGCCTTAGCTCAACATACAGGATATGGCCTGTAGGTCCCTTGCATTACAGCCGAACTTACTTAAATATAAATTTATAAACCAAATACTTAAACTGTAAGAAAAGATACATATATGCAAGCAAGCAGGTTAATCCTATAGGCTACACGCCCCCCTTTGACGGGGCGGTTTGCAATGAACCCCGTTACATAGGTATGGATGTAGGTGGTTAAGTATTTGTGGGGACAGTTTTAACGCCATTGTTATAAAGATGGTATTTTGGACTTTGGCACGTTTTTGGAGTGGGCACCATGTACACTTATTTCTTATTTTTAACATTTGGTGGCCGTTGAGGTTTTTGCTTGGGATTGTTGGATTTATACTGCAGGCATTTTAAAATAAGGAAATTACTTCCAATTGCAATTTTTTGGATAATAACCTTTTTTTTTATTTAAATTTTTTCCTGGGAATTGTTGCAGTCTTATTACCCTTATTTATTAACTGGGTAATAGCTTGTTTGGCTTTGTTTATATTGTTAGTCATTTGTATGAGGTGGGTTTTTTTACGGGCCAATAATGACTTTAACTGTAACCCTAGTGGGGGAATGTAAACAAGAAAGGTGGATGTACTTTGGATAGTTCAATTTTGATAGGCTGGTTTGGACTGGATAATGGTGATGTTTTTAAAAGTGGGAATAGGGGAAACAGCTTGATTTTTTTTTTTATTAAAGTGGGTTGCTTTGGAGTAAAACAAAATTTGGTTTTGTGACAGGACACTTTAAGGGAACATATTGGTACCTCTTTTAATTGGTAACCAAGCAAAATTGGCTATTTTTAGCATAGGTTACCCTTTTTATTGGATTCAGAGTAACAGCCGTGTTAGTCTGTATCCGCAAAAAGAAGAACAGGAGTACTTGCATCCGAAGAAGTGGGCTGTAGTCCACGAAAGCTTATGCTCTAATAAATTTGTTAGTCTCTAAGGTGCCACAAGTACTCCTGTTCTTCTTTTTATTGGAGTTTACTTGGTTAGCCTTACTAGGCATGATGATGATGAATATTGTAATTTTTTATTTTTTTTGCAGGTTACACAGAACAGTGTTTGTTTTAAACACCTTACACCAGGGGTTGGCAACCTTTCAGAAGGGTGTGCGAGTCTTCATTTATTCACTCCAATTTAAGGTTCCGTGTGCCAGTAATACATTTTAACGATTTTAGAAAATCTCTTTCTATAAGTCTATAATATATAACTAAACTATTGTTGTATGTAAAGTAAATAAGGTTTTTAAAATGTTTAAGAAGCTTCATTTAAAATTAAAATAAATTCAAATGCAGAGCCCCCCGGACCGGTGGCCAGGACCCGAGAAGTGTGAGTGCCACTGAAAATCAACTCGCGTGCCACTTTCGGCACCTGTGCCATAGGTTGCCTACCCCTGCCTTACACCTACAAATATACTGAGATCCTTTTTTAGAGCAACAGGCTATTTGTGGTACTTTTTAGGTTTCAGTTAGAGTGTGATAGACCACCAAGGAAGGTGCATTTACACATTCCCTATAGATGTCACCTTTGAGGTGACCTATAGAATGGACAGCTACCAATTGCCTGTACACATTTTTGTTTGGGTTAAGTACTGGTAATGAGACATACTAGGAGTGTGCCATTATACAATTTTTAGAAAGAGAACAACCATTTTGGTTGGGGTGAGGTGTTACAGATTTTATTTTATTTTTAATAGCACACACTGATAAATGCTGGCATGAATTTAAACATGGATATTTTTTTTTAAGCCTTTGAAAACATTTGCGACAGTACCAATTTAACAGTTGCTTATTTTTAATTAAGTTAGGAACCTTTGTTAATTTTAAGGATTGTAATATATTACTGATTGCATTTACAGTGTATTTTTTATATCCGAGCATATAATTTTCTTGTTTAAAGGGATTAGCTGATTAATTTTACGTTGGGTTTTACTAAATAGTTGGGTTATGTTATGCATATTATAAACAGTACATTGCTTTTTTTGAGACAGTTTTATTTTTTGTAACATTGGATTGACCACTTGGTTGGCTTTTTTTTGTAACACAATTTATATGTTTGCAATTTTTTTTTAATATTCACTTGGTTTTAAATTGACACTTTTAAACCAAATAGTTCTGTTAGGGATTCTAAACTTTTAAGATTTAAGCTATGCTTTTTTCTAGAAGTGTGTGGTTTAAGGATTTTATTATTCATCCCCAACAAAACAATATTTTGCACTTGTTGTTGATAGGCTGCAATTTTATTTACAAGTTATACTGAGAAAAAGGAGGCCACTTTGCTATGCTGACAATAGCTAAAAAAATTTAGATACCACCTAGACAAATTTAACACTACAGGAATATGCATAAACTGAACCTGATTAATAACTTTTTTTATTATGGGCGTTGTGGTGAGACCACTAGCAGGTTTTGGGTTTATTATTGGACAAGTTACATTATTTGGTATTGGATTGTTATAATTATAGTTAATAATTGGATTTTGAACCTTAAGTTTAAATGTTTCATTTAGTACATTACTTTTGCCTTTTGATTAGGTTTGAAAATTAGCTATAATGAGCACTTTATATTGCTTTTAATTTTTATATTTAAGTTTATATAAGGTTAAACTCCCCCCACCCCATTATCAGATTATTACAAATAGCTTTGTTTTTTTAAGTTTTATAAGCTATTTTGTGTTTTAGGGAAGTTGAATTTGTTGGTGAAGTGGTATAGATTTTACATCCTCCCCCCTTTGAGTTATTATTTAAGGGCCAATTTTTTTTTTTAGCCACTGGATGGCAACAAGATTACTTTAAACAAATGATATTTAAAGGTGACTCTTTTTATTAACCTGGTGTATAGTACTGTGGATAAGTTTTGGGTTGAATATAATAGTTTGGGGTTTTTTGTATTGGTATGTTTTGTTTTACATGCTTAGGCAATTGAGCATGACCCTGTCGTTTGGTTTTATGGGGTTGTAACAGTTTACTTTTAAATTTGTGATTTTGGCTTAGTTTTACCCTTAGAGCAACAATAAGGGTGCAGTAAATTAAAAGATTTTTTTTTCTACCCTAAACTCAGGTAGCAAAGTACTCCATCATGCTCAATTCACTGAGTTGTAAGATTTTAATTCAATCTTCCCTTGGTAAGACAAACACTTTTGCTGTTTTTTTCTACACATTGTGCATGCTTTGCAACAGAAGAATTTTTTTTTTTTATTCCTACTTGCTTAGCTACCAGATTTAGGGTTTTAATATTTGTAACAACTGCTACAGGGCAATCAGAATTAGAATCTGAGGGGTTTTTATCCGGATTGGGATTTGAGCTTTTATTTGAGCTTGAATCTATAATTTTTATGTTGACTTTTTCTATCCAAATGTACTTTTTTTTTTTAAATCAGAGCTATTAGAACTTTTCTTTGGGAATAATCCTTGATAAGCAGGGTAACTTTCCATAAAACCTCTGTTCTACACTTAAGACATCTCTACACTGACGCAGGACATTTTTTAGTCCATTAAGATCTGGTGTAGTAGGGTGTTTTACTGGTACACCAGGTGATACTAGCATATATCAAGCGGGTGTAGCGGGTGCACAGAATTTTAGGGACCTAGGCAATGCTGATGATCGCCCAAATGCCAGTAAGTGTTCACCCAAAGGGGCTGGCTCTTCTGATTTATATGGTCCCAATGTAACATTGTGTGGAGGAGCAGGAATTGCATTTCTTGGTTGTTGTATCTCTCTTTGTTGTAACCTAGAGATTACTACATCACAGGCACTAGCTACTTGTGTCACTGCATCTTTTAGTCCCTGAACAATTACAGTCTCTAAAGGCACTCTCTCTTCACTATCAGGGGTGGACATTAACTAGGGTTACCATATTTGTACATTGAAAAAGGAGGACACTCCACGGGGCCCCTGGCCCCGCCACAACTCCGCCCTTTCCCCGCCCCCATTCCAACCCCTTCCCCACCCAAACTCCCTGTCCCAACTCTGCCCCCTCTCTGCCCTATTGGCCCCCTTCCCCAAATCCCAGCTCCGCCTCCTCCCCTGAGCTCGCCACATTCCTCCTCTCTCCCAGCCCACCGAAACAGCTGCTTTCTCCCCTGGCTCCCACCGCTCTCCAGTCCCTGCGCCCCCGGCCGGGCGCTTCCCCCGCGCAGCAACAGCTCAGGGGTGGGAAGTTGCTTCGGGCCCCGGGCCTGCCCCCGAACTGGGCATCCCAGCCCCAGCGCACTCCCATCTCTTATTGGTACCATTTCTTATAACTTTAAACTTCAACAAAGCCCCTTAAACACATACAACACTTTAAATAATAATACTATTACTCTTTATCTTGCAAGATTAAATTCAAACCCCCTAAGCTAAAAGTCTAAGTCAAACCACAGTACATAACAGGAAATACTGGGATCGCTGCCAAGAGGCAGTCACAGGAAATCAAGTTCCTGTGTTCTTAAGAGTGAGTGAGTAAGACATACAATCTTGCTCTCTAACTTTACCTCTTTACTTATGCCTCAGGTGAGATTCTCAGGGGTCTAAAGATGCCTGGAATCCCTGAAAATCCCTGTCTCACATACCTTGAGTCTCCTGGCTGGCTCACCAGTCTCTTGCCTGATTTAGGAGATTAATAATATTAATTTGGATAGTATGGGTTTGGGATCGCCAATTTGTTTGATTAGAAGATATTAAGGTTTTTGTTCCGAATTAGGCTTTACAGAATTTACAAAGGACCCTTGGGGGTAAGACAGGAAGCTCCCACTGAGACAGATATAGCCTTAAAGGCTTG